GCTTGTCACTTAGTTCGGAAAATTTCTCAGCCATTATTACTTAAATATCTTCTTTTCTTTTTATCTTTTTTTGAATGGAGTCCCACTCGTGCACATGCTGGAGTGCAGTGGTGTGATCTTGACTCACTGCAACCTTTCTGCCCTCCCCAGGTTCAAGCAATTCTCTTGCCTCAGCCTCCCAAGTAGCTGGGATTACAGGTGTGCGCCAACCAAACACCCAACTTTTGGCATTTTAGTAAAGACCAAGTTTCACCAATGTTTGACCAGTGTTCTGTATGTTGAATTTGTCATCAGTATATTTGCCTTGCAGAAAATGGTAAAAGGAGTTCTTCAGAGAGAAGGAAAATTATATCAGAAACCCGGATCCACATAAGTGAAGGTAAAATAGAAACTGTTATTTTCCTTATTCTTAATCTAACACATAACAATTTGTTCAAAATAAGAATAGTAACAATTTGTTTAGTGATTATAGCTTATGGATACATAAAATGAATGACAACAATGTCTTAAAAGACAGGGGGGAGAAATTGGGAATAGACTGTTATAAGGTCCTTGTGTTACTACAGATACTATTATGAAGTGGTATAGTTGTTATTTGAAAGTGGGTTTAGATTAGCTGTAAGTGTGTATTACAAATTCTAGGGCAATCCATAAAAATTTTTTAAAAAGAAGTATAATTGATATGTTAAGAGAGGAGAGGCCAGGCGCGGTGGCTCAAGCCTGTAATCCCAGCACTTTGGGAGGCCGAGACGGGTGGATCACGAGGTCAGGAGATCGAGACCATCCTGGCTAACCGGTGAAAGCCCGTCTCTACTAAAAAAATACAAAAAAAACTAGCTGGGCGATGTGGCGGGCGCCTGTAGTCCCAGTTACTTGGGAGGCTGAGGCAGGAGAATGGTGTAAACCCAGGAGGCGGAGCTTGCAGTGAGCTGAGATCTGGCCACTGCACTCCAGCCTGGGCGACAGAGCGAGACTCCGTCTCAAAAAAAAAAAAAAAAAGAGAGAGGAGAGAAAATAAACTTATACAAAATGGTGCATTGAAACCACATAAAAATAGAAAAAGAGTAGAATACACAAATTAAAAGTAAGAAAAAGGGCAGCAAATGGAAAACAGAAACTTGGTAGATATTGATCCAACTATATCAATAATTGGTAACTTGGTAGATATTACTCCAACTATATCAATAATTACTTTAAGTGTGAATGGTCTAAATACACCAATTAAAAGACAGACTGTCAGAGAGGATTAAAAAAAAAAAAGACTCAATTCTATGTTGTTTAGAAATCACGCTGTAGGACAGCATATAAGAATATCTAATGGGTGGCCTGAATCAGGAGAGTGGGCTTTCAGTCTATCCACTAATTAGCTGTGTGAACTTTGAGAAGTCACTGGTATTCTCTGTTTACTCCTCTGCAAAATACAGAATTTAAGCTAAATCCCTTTAGTTCTCTTCCAGCTCTCAATCCAATGCCTCATTACCATGACTTGATGAGGAAATATGAGCCATGAGGGAGTGGGCTGAAGCCTCTAGTAGGTGCTTTTGATTGGACTGGGTCCGTGAGAGACCCAGATGCAGCCAGCAGGAGCAGATGCATGAGCGTGACAGCACAAATCCGAATCCTGGCTCTTGCCTGTGAAAACTTAACTCTTGGAGAACAGGAATATGTCACCTGGGTCCATCTTTGACTTGAAGCAAATTATAAGGAAGTTGCAAGCAGTCTTTAGGTTGACTTCATCCTACTGGCAAGGAAGGAGGATAGACCAGAGAGGAACTCAGGGGATCTTTGCTGAATACAAGGGTTCAGAGGGGACAGAGGATTTTATATAGCTCCTTGTCAGGCATTCCTGCCTCATCATCATCTTTTTTTTTTCTTTTTTTGAGATGGAGTCTCACTCTGTTACCGAGGCTGGAGTGCAGTGGCATGATCTCATCTCACTGCAACCTCTGCCTCCTGAGTTCAAGTGATTCTCCTGTCTCAGCCTTCCAACTAGCTGGGACTACAGGCATGCACCACCATGCCCGGCTAACTTTTGTATTTAGTAGAGACGAGGTTTTGCCATGTTGGCCAGGCTGCTCTTGGACTCCTGATCTCAGGTGATCCACTCGCCTTGGTCTCCCAAGGTGCTGGGATTACAGGCATGAGCCACCACGCCCAGCCCATCATCATCTTTTTAGACTAAAAGTATCTCCACCTTTCATACCGTTGCCTCTCAGCCCCACACATACATCTTCTATAGAAGAAAAAGAAAAGGAGTTTAAAATGTTTAAGTCTCAACTTTAAGAACACTGTTCTTAATGCTCAAGGTCTTGTTTGTAGCATCTAGCAAAAGCCCTGCTGCTCCCAAACAGAGACAGCTATGGCATGACTTGTCCATTTTGGCCAACAGCATGACCATTCTGGTGAAGGAGAGAAGAGAGAGAATCTTTGAAACTATCTTTAAAAACCCATGGATTATCAAAGGGCAACTAAATCGACGACTGCATTAAGTCAGGGTTATAAGTCACCACCCTACACTGGCAGATCATAGCATTTTTTCACTTCCCCAGGCTGTTCTCCTCACAGGGTTAAGTGGTTTAAAGAAACTGTTTTAGACACTGACTAGTTCTAGTTCTGTTCTGGTGCTCTCCCACTGACACAGTTCTGCATGTTATGGAAACTGGCCCTATGCTGATCTTACAGAGGTACCTTCCATCTAGGTCTACGTGACATTGTTATAAAACCCCAGGCCCATGAAACACTGAAATTTCCACTGGGAAACTGTGGGGATTCTAATATCCTGCTAGACAGAAAAGCTCCATGAAGGCGAAGCTTGTGACTCTTTGCTCATTATTATTCTCACTGTGCCTTCTCAGTGCCTGCCACATAGTAGGTGCTCAATAAGTATTTGTTGAATGAATTTTTAAAATCCACTACAAATGTGGGCCTTGAAAAAGTATGCATAGTTCAAATTTGATGGTTTCTAAAACTACATTTTAAAGCTGTTCATTTTTTTTATTTACCTGACAATCATGTATTGTTTTCTATATGACAGACATTAGCATACAGAAACCAATTAAACAATATGTCAATTCTCATAAAAGAGAAAGTGAGAACAATATTCACCAGGTGCTACCATAAGCTTGGTACTTTTTATTCATTATTTTATCTTCCCAGCAACTCTGTGAGGCAAATATTATTATCGCCCCTCTTGCAGATAAAGGAACTGATACTTGCAGAAAGGCTCACACCTAGCAAATGGCAGAGCCAAGAATTTATTCTAGGACCTGGGTACTTCCATCTACAGTGTACTTTCTCCTTAAAATAAATTTTAAATCACAGTCTAATATTCTGTTATGTGGTGTTTTGTTAAGAAAACTTGGGTTTTCAAATTTTGAGTTATAAACAAATAGTTTCATGAGAAAAAAAAAATCAGAGTTTTAAGCTTCAGCTACAAGTTACTTACCTTGGAAAAAAAAGTCCAATAATGAAATGTTTTATAACTACATGAGTGTGTCATTGGAGGCTATTAAGAAAGGATTGCTTGAACACAAGAAATGAAAATTATCAAGTTAGGTCCTGAACATCATCTAAGACCTAAGTCAACTATTATTTTGAAAGCACAACACTGAAATAAGATGGTTGAAGTCAAAATAAAGTGCAGCATAGTTCACACTGCCAGTAGTGAACACATGGACATGGAACCAGGAAGCTGCCAACTTCTCCCTTATGCTTAATAGCTTATTTCCTAGAACCTCAGTACTAATTCCTGACTGTGCTTGAATTACAAGCAGTATATATACACATCACCAATTGTGTTCCCTAGTCGACCTATTGTGTTATATCCTATTTACCTTATGAAAAGTCAAACTGTATGAGAGAAGCCTAAAATAAGGAAATGAATTCTGAGCTACAAGAGCACTTAGAGAAATATTCCGCATCAGGTTGTCTCGTAGGAGCGGGAGGCCCATGGCAGAGGTGGCCACGTGAGCTGTGTGTCTGAGGGCCACAGGGAAGCTCCTGGGTCACCTGTTTCCCTGGATTCTAGAGCACTTTTGGCAATCACTATTCCTTCCCAATGAGTGAAAATGCATGGGGCTCAGAATCATCTACACTCATATGTGGGCAGTAATTTTGAAAACAAGTTCTTGTCATTCAGATTAGGAACTGGGAAAACAGAGATCCATGACCAAACCAAAAGTACCCAAGGAAAGTACCCAAGGAGGTGGGGAATGGCCTAGGACTGGAATAGTCCTAAAGAATATGGCCCAATCCTAGTACAGTGATGACCATCTCTTACATTTTTATAGCCCCTTGCAGTTTTCACTGAGTTTATAACAACCCTGAGAATGAAGTTTTGTTCTTATTTTTACGGATAAAGAAACTGAAGTTGAGGAAGTGATTCACAGCTAGCACCCATCAGAGTAAAATCCCTGAGTCTTCAAACTTCAGATGGAATAATCTTTCCACGAGGACCTTGCAGGGCTACTTCAGGACTAGGTTTTGGAAGAGCAATAACTTGGAGTCAGGCTGGCCTGCATTCGCCTAGCCCTGAACGTACTATTTTTTAGGTATGTGATTTGGGCAGGTTCTTTTACGTCACTGAACCTCATTCTCCTCATCTGTAAAATGGAGACGTGTAGCATCTAGTTCACAGGGCTACTGTGTGGATCAAATACTATATGCATACCAGTGTGCTTATCACAGAACTTGGCCCCTGGTTAGGGCTGGACAAATGTTGAGGCTTTCAGGGTATGTTCACAGCATGGGCTCTGGATAGAGGAATCTCCCTTCCCCTCAGTAGTTCAGCATGCCTTAGGGCACAAAACCCCCCAGGGGACATTTTACTGTATCTAAAAGCTACAAAGAGATAAAAACTTGGGACAGACTGGGCGTGCTTGGGGCCTGAACACTGAGTCTAGGATGGGGATGGAGGGGTGTCAGCCCATCGATGTTTCCCCTCCTCCCATACTGCCATCTGCACTGGGTCCCCCAACACAGAGAGGACCCTCCATCCTCACCTGGAAAGCCATGGAGTTGGCGACAGCCAGAAATATCCTCAGAGGCAGCTTGGCCTTGTAGGACCTGTGGCTCCACAAGCGATGGGCACCAGCTGTCACACCCAGAGCGGCCAGGAGGAAGCAGAAGTAGGCTGCAAGACACAAGCAGGGAAAACATCAGCAATGGTCCCCGAACTTTCAAACACCCTCTATGTTTTTTCTCTCCTGAACAGGGACACATGTGAAATGGTGTCAGGGGAGAAATCTGCGACATGAAGAATCAATAACTTGAGAGGAGGCAGCCTTTTTGATTTGTAGCATCCCAGTACCATGCATAAGCAAAGAACTTTCTTCAGCAAACTTTGACCTTTGAATATTTTTCCCTACAGCAAATCTTTTATTTGCTAATGTTTCTTGCCAGTCTTGATGCAAAGTCACAACCATGTCAATGTACATTCGCAATTCAATCTCACACGTACACTCTCGGCAGGACGGAGATTGAGCTCTACGTCACCTCTTAATTGGCACCCATTAAAGGGTGAGAGATATATGAAGAGCATATTTCTAAGTGGCAGTGCCCATTATTGGTGTCAATAAACATATTTAAAGAGAGCACAATATTACATCTTCCAGAAGTGTTTGACCAATCTTGATCTCAATCTATATTGATTTGGTTCTAAAAACAAGATTTACCCTTAACTGTAAGAATAAGCGGTCCCTGAATATATGTGGGTTTCATGAACATGACAAATCATTCCTTACTTGAAAGGTTAAAAGCAAAAAACAAACAACAATCTGCCCACAAATCACAGAAAGCAGCAGCAAATAAAAAGCTCTGGCCTCCTTTGTTACTGTAATTTAACCTTGGTCATGAGTCCATGAAATGGACAGTCATTTTCCTTGTCATCCCTGGCCTTCTTGTCTCTGTTTTAACTATCAGGTAGTCAGGAAACAAGTAAAATCTAGAATGGAAAAATTCAGTGTTATTCTATTTCACCAGTAGGCTGGACCTTGGGTGCAATAAAATTAATTCCAAGACTCCATGAAAACAATTGTCTAAAAAAGGATCACTCTAATCTACATTTGCCAGTCAGGCCTTTACCACTGACATTGTCTTGTCCTTTTGGGAATCTCCAATAATTTAGGGGTCATTTGCATGGTTCTCTGTCTATCCCTATGGTACCGACAATGGTTCACAGCAGCGCCTGTTCTGTGCAGTAGTGGCTGTTGGTTTCCCATGGTCCTTCTTCTAACAACTGGAATTTGGCCATGTGACCTGGCCCTTGCCTAGCATAGTGCCCTGTCTTCCGGGACATGAGAATAAACACCTGAACCAATGATTTTCTCTCTTCTGGCTCAAAGTCTAAGCTGGGTTTACCAAACATTACATATTACCAAGCTGAGAAAACCTGATTACAACAGCAAATCTTGAGGCCAAGAAAGTGAGACATGAAGACAATGAAGATGCCCACAAGAGCTAAACCTGTCTTGAGTCACTGGTTGCTGACCTAGGAGCTCTGTCATTCTTCTTTTGATCCTGGGAGCCTCCACAGTATGTCCTAGTTAGCAGAGCCAACAGACTTCATTTTCTTGCTTAAACTAGCTTGCACTGGATTTCTGATGCTTAAATTCTGCTGAAGCTCTGGGGAGGAAACCAACCCTCTGGTCACGACTTAAATGAGGAAAAACCACAAAAACACATTCTGGGATGAAGGTGAGGATTTATGGGCTCTCCCATTAACAGGATTCAGTTTTCCTATTTTGACAGTGCTAATTCTGTTCTTAATTTTTCTTCTATGATCTTTGTGAAGACTCATATTCAAACAAGTGTTCAGATGGATGCTTACCAGCTGGTTCTGAGGTAATGAAATATTCAGACACAGAACTGGTGACTTTGAGGGGATAAAAGGAGTAATGGGTAATGCCAAATACTTTACCAAGTAGCTCATACCTCACAGAGAAAGGTGCTAAATCAATAGAAACCAGAATCACAAGATGACAGAATCATAAGCAACAAACAAGTATGGCAGTGTGGATGCAAACAAGAGTCATTGATTCTGGTTAGCTCAAGCCAAAAACAAAAACAAAAGCAGGAATTAAAAAATATATGGAGCAGCCTAGAGAACTCAGGGATGGTCCTGCAGGACAGGCTATGCCACCTCCAAGATGGTCCATGTGCTCCCCACCTTCTGGCATGCATGGCCTTGTGTAGTCTCTTCCCTATTAGTAACTTGCTTCTAACCAAAAGAATATAGCAATATTGAGGGAATGTCAGTTCCATGATTAGTGTACAAAATATTGTGACTTCTGTTTTGCTAGCAGATTCTCTCTTGAGCTGGCTTTGATAAAGCAAGCTGCCATGTTGGGGAGGCCCACGTGGCAAAGAATTGAGGATTCCTCCAGCCAACAGTCAGTAAGGAAATGAGGCCCCCAGTCCAACAGCTCTCAAGGAACCAAATTCTACCAACAACTACATGAGTGAGCTTGGAAGCAGATCCTTCCTCAGTCGAGCCTTCAAGCAAGATCGTAGCCCTGACCAACACACTGCAGCCTCGTGAGAGATCTCGGGGCAGAGGATCCAGCTAAGCTGTACCTGGACTCCTGCCCCCCAAAAACTGTAAGAAAATAAATATGTTTTGTTTTACACTGCTAAATTTGGGGGTCATTTGTTATGCAACAATAGATAACCTGAATACAAAACATAAGCAGGAACCTTTCATTCATGGAAGGAAGGTACATCTTAAATCCTGATTGCAGAATAGTTTATCATCTATAGGGAAAGTAAACAGGCTGGTGTTGCATGGGGTAGGGGGTGGAGGCAAGGGGAAGAGGCGACTGACTGCTAATGGGTTCTATGAATAAAAATGTTTTAAAATTTATTTTAGGGATAGTTGCACAATTCTGCAAATATACTAAAAACAAATGACTTGTATACCTTAAATAGGTGAGTTGTACAGTATGAGTTAGAGCTCAAAAATGCATTATTTAAAGAAACAATTACTGAATTCCTATTGGATTTTGTTATTATATATATTTTCTTACTGTAAAATAAAATAGACCCATCCCAAAACAGAACAAAGCAATCAAAAACCAACCATTGGCCTAGGATGCTCCCACAGGCATCACCACTCCTGGATACTTGCCACCACCAGACATGTGTCATAACTTGGACCCTTGAATCTTCCACAGAGGCCAAGAAGAACCTCTATATGACCCTACACCTATGCCTGAAGCTATCAAGACCACCCAGGATTCCATGGCAGAAGTACCTTGTTGCCCATGCTTGGATCACAAACCCAAGCTCCAGCAGCCAGGGATGGGAAGAGGCAGAGTCCAGAGCTCCTTCGGCTTCTGTGTGGAAGACACAACCTCCTATCTGTCCTGATTTCCCTGTTTGGTACACTGTGTTGATAATGATTGTAGTGACCCCCTCCTAACTATATGACAGAGAACAGTCCTAGAAGGATGCTAAAAAGCAAAAAGTAAAACTCCCTTAATCCTGGACCTGATCAGAGACAGAGATGGACAGCCCCCTTCAAGAGCCATCCCTGAGTGCTCGACAGAAGGAAGCACTTGGCAGAGCTCTCTAACCCTTGCTTATAATCTATATCTCTATAGCATCAGAGTGAACGTTAATAAATAATAATAATAAGAGCTACCATTGACTGAGAGCTTTCTATGTGCCAGGCCCTCTTTAAGCACTTTATACATGGTAACTCATTTAATATTCACCACAAGTGTAGGGGGTAGGTACCATTATGATCTCCATCTTACAGATGAAGAAAACTAGACAGTGATAGAGCCAGGATACAATCTAAGGCAGGAAGGGCCCACATTCTAAATGCCCCTGCTGACTGCCTGTGCCCTGGAAGCAGAGTTCATCCTATCAGGAGGAACTCGAATGAATCACGTCCTTTTAGCCAGATCAAAACACAAGCTGAAAGTCAAAACTCTGGTTTTCCTTTCTCCCCTTCCAAGTTACTCCCTTGCCGGTAGTACCTACACCATCATTCTGCATCCCATTCAGCCTCGGCTTGTCATAAACGTGAGTGTCAGGAGAGCCGAGACTTTATGAGACAGTTTCATTGAGCTGCTATTATGTACCAGCCACTGAGCTCAGAACTGGGAGTTTAACAGGAGTTTGAAAAAGTAAGTTACTTGCTATATAATGACAAAGTATGGAAAGTGTTACAGAGCAAATGAACCCAATAATATAAGTGAGATTAAAAAGTGGGTAATTTAGTTTGGGGGACCAGAGAAGGCTTTGCAGAAGAAGCAAGAATTTAGGCTAACACTTAAACGATAAGAAGTCGACTGAGCAAGGTTCAGAGGAGGCAAGATCAGGCAGAGGGACTCACAGATGCAAAGCCCTGTGGGTAGAAAAGAGGATGTGATGGACAGAAGGAAACATTAAACATAAACTTATTTGTTCTAGCAATTCCACTTCTAGGTGTTTACCCAAAAGAATTGAGAGCAGTGATAGGACTCAAACAGATACTTACATATCCATGTTCATAGCAGTATTATTCACAATAGCCAGAAGGCAGAAATAATCCACGTGTCCATCAACAGGTGAGGAACATCCCTGCCTAACAGAAAGTCAGAAGGGAGTGGAGACTCACTGACAGCCTGCCCTGGGTGTCACTTTACCAATGTACCTAATTTTCCTGTTTTACTCCTATGAGGTAGATGTCATAATTTCCATTTTACAGATTTGCAAAACTGAGACCCAGAGACATTAAATAAATGCCTTGGGACCTCCAAGTGATAAAGCCAGAACTCCAACACCAGATCAGTCCAACCCCAAGCCCTTTCAGGCAAGTGCAGTGGTTCTCCACCCTGGCTGCGCACTGCAATCACCTGAGATCTTAAACATCCGACTGCATCAGAAATGGGGGCCAGACAGCAGGCATCTCTCTCTCAGCAGATGATTCTGATGCAAAACCAGGCTGAGAAACTCCTGCCTCGTAAGGTACACCCTCTCTTAGACACCATGTGGCCCCACCCTCTCAATTTACAAACAGAGAGATGAGATCCAGAGAGCACTGCTCTCTACAACCCACCGCCAGTTGCTGACTCTCCATAGGGCCTCAGTAAATGCAAAGTGACCCTCGGATCAGGAGACAATGTCATCCTGTCAGTGAACTCAGAG